ACAATAATCACTTTCTTGCAAGCATTATGGATTCTCCAACTTTTGCAAATGAATCCCCTTCAAAAAGCACACGAACGTAAAAAATTACATAAGTTGTAATTTGTCATATTTTTCTTTAAATGCTCTTCGAGTACCGGTTTACGTTGTAATTTTGTAATATTTAACAAAAAACCGGGTGTTTTCAATTTTACCGCCGATGTATTCCATATTTGTGTAAATAGCCTGTGGTCAAGTATTGAGGTACCATTTCTAGGTTGAAGATAAGAATTGAGGTACCCTTTCTAGGTTGAAGATTGGACTGAGCATATTTTACTACGGGCTTTTTTTTGCTAATGGACTTAAAACAAAATTGAAAAAGGGAAATCACACACAAACCTACTTTTTCACTCACATTTCAATAATCAGGTACAAAAAATTTATCTTTCAAAAATTAAGTACACCCACTCTACCCATCCCACGTACCCTACATCCCTATCTCCAAGACCTGCACCACTACAAAAGCCCATGTCGCCGTTGATGCCCACTACGATCAACTACTTGCCGAACGCCCACTATCCTTTCCCGCTCCATTTCACCTCACATCACATCACCCTAATCAGATCTTTACCCTATTTTCCTAAGAGAAATGTCAGGTATACAGGTTCTGTTTCACAGAATCCCTACCAATGCTCACAAATAATGGGTCCCACACGGGACCCATTTGTATTAAAAAAAAAAACCCCACCACTCACCCCATATATGTGAGTGATGGTATGAGTTCTGTGAACCCGTACTTGTACGTGTATCATCACTCTTTTCCCGAATCACAATTCCCATTTCACTGCCACGGCTTCGCCCTCAAATCCATTTCCACACTACCATGGGAAGAATATTTGGTTGTGGCGTTTGTCGTAGCATTCGAGGCACATGAAGATATCATTTGATACAAGACCTATGAGGATTCTTCTATGAGCAGTCCACACAGATCTTGTTGCCCTAACTGCGATTGGAGCTCCCAGAGTCGACATGAAGCCCTTATTTTGTGATAGATCATGTAACTAATTCGATTATTGTTTCGATTTTGATGTGGTGTGTCTATGTTCTATGATTTTGGTTGAGTTATTGGATCGGATTTGGAAGATAATAGTGAATCAGATATGGTCGTGAGGCTATACAAAATGATTTGCATGGGCGACAACCATTATGGGTAATGGTGGTGGTGGTTTGACTATGGTAGCAGGGGTGGATACAGACATTTTGAGTTAGGGGACACAATCAAATTTTATACAATCGAACACTTTGTTCTTAATTTTTGAATGATTTATACTTGATTTGAGAAAATATAGATTTACATTTAAAAAATAATTTTTCCTCAATATTTTGCTCATCATTTTCATCTATTTGATTTTAAACAGCCATTTTATTAATATTTTGTTCATAAGAAGAAAATGCATATCTAAGTTTAGAAAAATTGTGTATTTGATACAAACAATCAATTCAAGTAATCGAAAGAAAAAACATATAATCAATATTCAATATTAATAATCAGTCAAATAAACACAAATCATTAAATATAAGTTAAATTTTATATAATTAGTTTAGACACATGCTATATACACAAATATGAAAGAAGAAAATGTAGATTTAGGTTCTATTTAGTTGAAAATTTGATTGAAAAGTGAAAATTTATAATAGATGTAATAATTTGTAGAGAAATTATAAGAGCCCATTTGGTACGGATTAAAATCTGATTTTAATCTAAGTTAAAGTCAAACAATCAATATTAACCATATCTTTCATTGTTTCCACAACTTTTCAGCTACATATTTAAAAAAATTCTATCACAATCTACTAAAAAATCTAATTTTAATCCCTACCAAACATCCTTTAAATAAATTTTAAAAATTAGAAGGGTTAAAATTTTGGTAAAAGGCGTGGGGGGAGAAAGTAAGATAGAGCAAGAAAAAAGAAAGAAAATTCAATTTATTGTGATTTTGTCCCTGATTGGTGAGAGATTAAAATTGAATTTTTAGTAAATTTTGATAAAAGTTTAAAAAATTGAGAAATCCATTAAATAAGTTATTAAAATTAATTGCTAACTTTTCAATCGATACAAAATAAAACTTTATTCGAAAAAAAAAGAATGAAAAAACAAGAAAATCTCAAAAGTTAGGGGTCAAGTGACCCCCCAAGACGCCCTGGGTCCGCCTATGTATGGTGGTGTGGTGGCACAACGATTTGGTCTTCTCACTTATGTGATCGTGGAGGTGGTGGTGGTGGATTTTTGAAGTGTGTTTGAAGGTGTTGGTAGTGACTCTGACAGTGGTTTGACTATAGATTGAAGTAGGTTTGATTGGGTTGGATGGGGGTGAGTTGAAGAGTTTGTGATAATGGTGGTACGATAGTGGTGGTGATAGTGACATCGAATTTGGGTTATGCCGATTGTGAGTTGAAGAGCAATTGTGATCAATGAAATGGATAATTTCTAATCTTAAAATGTGTGATTTGTAACTAAATTTGTAATTGTAACCTACAATTTGTTTTTTTGTGATCGATAAATAAGTTGTAGCCAGTTAATTTGATAATATTTGTCGATAAATTAGTTGTGATTAATTAATTTTAATAATTTTTCCAATAAACAAATTGTGAGAAATTAATTTGATAATTTGTGATCGATAAATAAATTTTGAGTTATAAAAATATGTGATTTATAATTAAATCTGTAATTATGGCCCACGTTTGTATCTTATTGATTATGTCGATATGTGATTTGTGACTATTACATAATTATAATCATAAATTTTATATTAATGTAACCTAGTCCTTACTTGAGCTCCATTCTTTTGATAAGAATGAATTTTTGAGTAGTGTATTGATGGAAAATGTGTGGTTAAAAAATAAGGAAAAATATTGAATTTGTGTGAAATATTATTTTAGTGAAAAATATGTGGTTGAAATGATGTCAAAATATTATTTAAAAATGTATTTTTTTTTTAATTGGAAATCTTCAAGTTTGAAAGTGTATTTTGAGGCTATGGTAATTATATGTATTTTTCCAAAAACCAAACGTTAGAGGCCCACACTTTCGGCCCATATTTAATCAGTGGGAATTGCAACTTTTCAGTTTCTTATTTTATCCAAACTTTGCAGCCAGCTTTCAGCTCTCGGGAACTTTCAGGAAGAACCCTAAACCAGTTTTTCACCAGCAAGGTAAGATTTCATGATTTTGAAGTATTTGCGTTTTTCTAAATTATTTATGTTATCATTTTTCTTTAACTCAATGAAAATTAAACTATTGTGATTCATTTCCGCAAATTGGCTCAATATTTTGCACTTTGCGCGTTCCCCTTAGTGCTAAAAAGTGTAGTAGGTAGTTTGAAATATCATTTGCATCTGATTGACATCGCTTAATACCCTTTCCCCCCTCTAATTTCCTTTCAAAGATATATTTTTGTTACCATATGTTCTAAAAATGTCAATGTGAGCTATAAAACTAGGAATTTATCATTTCAAATTTTATTTGTTTTAAGTGGGGGAAACTTGGAATACTAACTGTGATAACTTCACGTGTTCTCTCTCTCTCTCTCTTTCCATTTTTTTTTTTTTGGTGAGTTTCTCATGGTATTAGTGTTCTGTTTCATTTTAATTATATTTAGAAAACCCCAATTTTACATTTTTGGATGGAGAGAATGGTTCTAGTTGGATTTTATTGGATGAACTCTGGCATATGCTTCTGTTTCTATGTTGGTTTTGAAGAGGAAAATAGAGGAGAACTCTTGATTGTTGTGTGTGTGATAGTAAAGGAAAACACTAGGAGATGACTGCTAATGCAAAATTGGTGTGGCTTTCGCTAACCTAATAGAACGAAGATATTAGGACAGAAACATGCTTAATTTTTTCCCTGACACCACTAAGATAAGACTGAAATGTCATAAACTTTCCATATTTTGTTAGCGATGTACCTAATAGTTTTTAAGGCAAGTCATTCTTATTTTTATGCTTCTTCTCCTCCATAAGTTGCTGCAATTGCAAGCTTACCTTTTTGCAATTTCAGCACTGTAAATGCTACAATAAAAATCTACTGTTTCCTAATTATATATGGAAAACAGCTTTGTTTGATCAAATTTAATGTTCTGACCCTTCCATAGTCTATTGTATTGCACGTGGATTTTGACTTGATGCTGCAAGTGCTTTACGCAGCAAATACTTGTGGCACTAGAAGAGTGGGAAGCGGTGAAGGTGAAGGAGGCTGTGAGAGGACATAGAAATGATGTGAGGATGGTGGAGATTTTTTGAATTATTGGGTGATGAACAAGAAGAAGGTATTTATAGTTTTTAGTGTGTTGTTGGGCCAAAAGAGTGTTTACACAACTATGGAGGAAACAGACTTAGTGAAAATGATAAAAAACCATTTTTGGGTCACCGGATGGTTGGTGTTGTTAGTATTGTTATAATTTTTTCTAGTTTGCACTAGTTTTTACCTGGCGATAGTTTTGGATATGTGGACTGGGCTGAGGTTCAAAAATTGAATCACTTTTGAGGTGTTGGTGAGGTCGATTTGAAAAATAACCTGAGGTCGGAGTCTGATCCGTACTGGTGATAAGTACCTTGTCTTTTTTTGAATAGAAAGGTGACGTCTTGCATAAAGTTAAATTACAAAACTTATCTCATTTTATGTAATTTTTTGTTGACACTACCATTGATTTTTCTATGATTATGTATTTGCACCCTTCTACCCCATCTTGTTTTATTTGAAATCCTTGTAGGGTTGAGAAAAAAGTCCGTTCAAACCGATACTTGCATGGCCCCACTTCGAATGGGACTTGGATTACCTGTCTAACTAGGTAAACAAAGCGAGTACGGGGCGGAGGTCATTGCTCCGCGCGGGTACGGGGTAGGTATGGGAAACATAGTCCTTGCCTTGCTACCTATCCCATTTAAAGTTAATTTCAAATTTAAGTTTTTTATCAAATAAAAATAAAAGATTTATCTTCATTTTTAAAGAGGATGTGAGTTATTTTTAACATATTGGAAAAAAAGTAATAATATTTAGTAACGACAAACAAAAAATAAAATATATAAAAAAATAAAGCCCATCCCCTCCCCGTTTTAATCGGATATAGGGTGGGGCAAGTTGCAAAAGTATCCGATGGGGCGGGAATGGCCAACCCGTCCAGCGTTTGCATCCCTAAATCCATTGGAAGATATCATTATGACTCTTCAATATATGTAGTTGTTTCTTCATGTCCCAATATTTGTTTATATGTTACATCGCAAATCTTGTATTCTGTTAAAAAAATTCTTCTAATCTTATAGGGGTTTGCCAATCCCATAAAACTTAAGTTGTAGTCCACCATTTTACCAGACCAGAATATCATTTATGATATCTTTCCATCTAAATTATTGAGCATAATTATTAAAGCCTTCAGATTTAGGTATTTTCAGTATGATGGAACATAGTGATAGCCAGTTGGTCACCATTGAAGGTTTATTGAAGAATGAAAGGAGTTTAACATCTAGAAATGATAGAACGGTCTGCTACTTGTTATTTCTGGAAAGGTGGTCAAAATGATGACCAAGGTTAATGAAAGTCAAATGATTGATTTATATTTAGGCCCCGTTTGAGTCACATTAATGTAAGAATGAGAATGAGAATGAGAATGAAAAATATAGTTGTTACGGGTCCCATACAAGAGGTAGAAAGTTAAATATGGTGGCTTGATGTGATGGATAACGGTTATATTTTTCATTTTAATGGGCAAATAATGGGAAACAAACAGGAGCTTAATATGTTAATCGAGTGATTAATGAATGTTATGTCCAAAGAAGTGTAGAGGAATTCCAAAAGTGCTATGAATGCGGTGTTTGTTTCTATAAGATCATGAGTCAAACAAATAAAATAGATTCAAAACCAAATCCACTGTTCATTGTGTCAAAGCCTTGTATCTTTCCTACATATTAGTTGCAGTGTCTCTTTTATCTCCTGTAATATAATTCGTATGAATCCCTCCTTATCCTTCCTAAAGTTCTCCTTTAACCCCCAATCTCCTACTCCTATTTCTGGTGCACTAGCACTTACAGTATTAAATATGTCCCCCCTCTCTCTACACTCACACACTCACACGCACAAGATACAGATGGATAGATGCTGCATGTGGCCACAATGTATTTGTTTTAATTGTCATGAGTATGTTGTGTCCAAAATTATTCGAACAAATCATACTAATCTTCATGTTGTAGGCTAGCAAAATCCATACATGTATATATGTGTGTCTTCATCTGTAATGATGTTGATTGTATTGGAGAACTTTTTAAATTTGATTTTTTATTTAGAGCTCGTTTGAGCCACATTATTTGTAGAATGAGAATGAAAAATAGAGCCGTTATGGACTCCACACAAGAGATAGAAATTCAAAAATAATGGCTTGATGTGATGGATAACGGTCATATTTTTCATTTTAATGAGGTAAAAATGGGGCTTAAACAGGGCCTTGGTGGATAACAAATGAGCGATGCTTTTTTTTTTTTTTTTTTCTCCCTTTACCCATAGTTTCCGTAGATATTTTTTTCCTTGGGGGTGAACATTTTTGTTTTGTAATTGTATATGCAGAAAGCAGAAGTGAGGATGCAAGTCGAAAGTTCTCTGTCTGTGGTTGGTCCAAGGCCAACAGAGTTGTCAACTATGATACATAGTGGTGGCCCACCAGTGCCTGGACCAAATGGGAAACAGCGGACTTCGAGCTTGGAGTCACCAATCATGTTGCTAACAGGGCACCAAAGTGCAGTCTACTCAATGAAATTCAATCCAGCAGGGACTGTTGTTGCATCTGGTTCACACGATAAGGAGATATTCTTGTGGAATGTACATGGTGATTGCAAGAACTTCATGGTCTTGAAAGGGCACAAAAATGCTGTGTTGGAAGTGCAATGGACTACTGATGGCACACAAATAATATCGGCCAGCCCAGATAAGACTTTAAGAGCATGGGATGTTGAGACAGGGAAACAAATAAAAAAGATGATGGAACACTCATCTTTTGTGAATTCTTGTTGTCCCGCTCGAAGGGGCCCACCTCTTATTGTCAGTGGGTCGGATGACGGGACTGCAAAACTGTGGGATATGAGACAAAGGGGGTCCATACAGAATTTTCCGGATAAATACCAGATTACAGCAGTCAGTTTCTCGGATGCATCGGATAAGATTTACACTGGTGGCATTGACAACGATGTAAAAGTGTGGGATATTCGGAGAAGTGAGGTTATTATGAAGCTCCAAGGACATCAATATATGTTAACCGGCATGCAATTGAGTCCAGATGGTTCTTACCTTCTGACTAATAGCATGGACAACACTCTTCGAATATGGGACATGCGCCCCTATGCGCCCCAAAATCGCTGTGTGAAGATTTTGGAAGGGCACCAACACAATTTTGAGAAGAACTTGCTGAAATGTGGTTGGTCACCCGATGGAAGCAAGGTCACTGCTGGTAGTAGTGATCGCATGGTCCACATATGGGATACAACTTCTCGTCGCATATTGTATAAGCTTCCAGGTCATACTGGATCAGTTAATGAGTGTGTCTTCCATCCCAGTGAGCCTATCATTGGCTCTTGCAGTAGTGATAAGCAGATATATCTTGGTGAAATCTAAACGACCTTCGGTAATTTCTCCATCATCTTTTCATACAGTTGTGAGGTTGAAAGTAGTAGCTAGCCGTTGAGACCAATTTGTGGACAAGTGACGGTATCGTGGAAATTGTGACGCGTTTTAGTTAATTTTTGATCGTTGGTGTTGATAGGTGTTCCATTTAGCAATTATGGCATATGAGAATTTGTTGCAACACGTATCTTTAGCTGGGATCGGAATTTAGCTAACTTTTCTATATTTTTCGTGTTTTAGACAATGAATGTGTAGCATAGATTTGTGTTGCTGTGTTGATGACATTACTATGTGCAAGATGTTCATCACAAAGGTTAGTTAAAGTGAAGAGTTGCCCGTGTACAGGAGAACCTTTTCCAGCTAACATGTGGGCCCACCTCGTAATTCAAAAATATTGATATTCAAGATTGGATTACTATCTCTCATCATATGGAAGAGACGTGTTTAACTCAAGATTGGATTACTATTTCTCTCATCATATGGAACAAAAATAGGAGACGTGTTCAACTCACTTGGTACATATTCATGAAGTAGATGTGTTGCTTGACTAGACTTGTGTCTTAGATCAAAGAATAATACCATCATGTTTGATTGATGTTTAGCACCAATTTATGTCATCATATGGAGGAGACGTGTTTAACTCAAGATTGGATTACTATTTCTCTCATCATATGGAACAAAAATAGGAGACGTGTTCAACTCACTTGGTACATATTCATGAAGTAGATGTGTTGCTTGACTAGACTTGTGTCTTAGATAGAAGAATAATACTATCATGTTTGATTGATGTTTAGCACCAATTTATGTGATAATGAAATTACGACCTCGTTTGCTATCCATTTTTTTCAAAATGTATTTTTCTCTTTATTCTTTTTATCCACACATTCTTTATTAAAATAATATTACACGTAGCCCTTGTTTGAGCCACATTTTTGGATTGAAAATAAATTTTTGAATAGTGAATTGATGGGAAATGTATGGTTAAAAAATAAGGAAAAATTTTGAATTTAGATGTAATATTATTTTATTGAAAAATGTATGGCTGAAATGATGTCAATTCACTGTTGAAAAATGTATTTTTTTTTTAAATAATGTGGCTCAAACAGGGCTGTAAATCAAAACATTTTTCTTATTTTTCAATCACACATATTTCATTAATTTACTATTTTAAAATGCATTTTTACATAAAAATGGGTGTCAAATACCCATTTTAAAATATGTAAAATGCATTAAAATTTTATTGAATAATGTGGAAGTGACTCATTACTATTTATATTAGTGTTAAGTAGCTGAATATCATCATCACTTTAGATCCAATAAAGTAAAATTCGAAGATTAATTAGTAACAAAAAATATCAAACATTTCTTTATTAACATAGGATTTTTCATGATAAAATCTAGCTCACCCAGTCTCATTTTCAATGTATCTTTATTTTATTATGATTGTCAAAGTGGACGATTATACAGATTCTTTCAATATTACTCATCAAAAGTTCAGAATTTACTTGCGATCCAAAATAAAAATTTTGTTCGATTTTGCTTGGAAAAACTTCAAAAGTTGAAGACACATTTTATGAGACTCATAAATTTTATCAACTTTTATCAAAATTTGCTAATATTTATATCTAAAGTTTTGTCAAACAACCCAAATTATCAATCTAGGCTATGTATACCAACTACGATCAAATTTTAATTAATTTCAAGATTAACGTACAAAATGACAAATAAAAGAGGAGAAAGCTCTTACCCTACAACACGAAGACGGAACTAGAGGCGAAAGAGTTACCTTTTTCTATTAAGAAATTCACTAAAAGCTATCAAAATAATTGCAATAAGTAAAAGCTAAAAAAAGATGACTAAAAATAATTATTTTTCACTAATTAATAATTATTTATGTAAATACTCCTTTGGATTTACCTCATGAAAATGAACGGCCCAACGGTCGTGGGGTCCAATGAGTCCATGGCCCACTATACGTCCCTTCGTTAACCCAAAAAGTCAAGAAAAGAATCTGGTGGACCGGGCCCAGGCTCCATGTTGACTAACGCCAAACGACGTCGTATAAATCCAACAAAAAGATCTCCCACTATTCACACACACCTGTATCATTTCACGCACACAGTACACAAGCACTGAGTGTGAGACCTCGATGGCTTGGTTGTTGAAAAATCCGGTGACTTTTCTGTACATTTCCGACGTCCAGTCACCGGAATACTTCTTTGCTAAACGTTTGCGTTCCAAAGACAATTCTGTGGGATATAACAATAATTCTTTTAATAGTAGTATCAATATCGGAAATTGTAGTAGTATCAATGGCAGTTAGAGTAAAATTTTGTGTGAAGCAGTTTCTGTGCAGCCACAAACTGATACTGAAGGCCTTAACATTGCCGAAGATGTAACCCAGGTGGGGTTTTCGGGGTTTCATTTCATTTTTCCTACTTAAACTGGCATTCTGTATTTTTCTTTTTTGTGCAGCTTGTTTTCTTTAAATTTTTTGGTGAGATTACGACAATATTGGTTATCTTTTCGTTTTAGCTTTACCTTTTTCTTTTAGTTTAAGTAATACTTTAATATTGGTTTTTGTTTTGTTCGTGTATTCTTGTAAGAACAGCTGAGGCAATTGCTTGTGGTGGTATTAATATACTCGGGCGACTTATAATCCTAGTTAGTTTAGAGGAAATGAATTGATTTGTTGTTTTAATGCAAAAATCAGTTGTCAAATAATTCAAATGATAAAACAAATTCTCAGGATTAAATAGAGACTTCAATACGAATTATACAGAGTTAATATTTGAAAGGTAAATCTAAGTTGGAAAAAACCTTGTTGTCCAGTGCCAGATGGGCCCTGGACGGACAGGGGGGCCTGTGAGGTCATTCTATTGCTTGTATGTATTTTCAGCTGAAATGGAGTCAACTTGATGAGGAATGAATGTCAAAAATATTCTTGAAGCCTTGTGGGTAGGTTGAGGCTATAATTTTCCTTTAACATTTTATATTGCCCTCCATTATATTTGACACAAGCAGATAGAATGATATGAAAATATCTAATATAGTTTGGTTAGTGTATATTAAAAGCAATATTTGTTTTTCTTTCCTTGGATATATTTAAAATTACCTTGACGGAAAAGCCTTTAATTTATTGATTAATTATTATTAGTTCACTATTGACACAATGTGGCAGCTTATTGGGAAGACACCAATGGTTTACTTGAATACTATTGTAAAAGGTTGTGTTGCTAACATAGCCGCGAAGCTTGAGATTATGGAGCCATGTTGTAGTGTCAAGGACAGGTGAGAACGCTCCTAGTTTTTTATTTAAGATTTTGTATTTGCAAACAAATGCATTCATTGGTTGCTTTCTGCCTCCTCGATATGTTTCAACTTTCAACTTTACAGCAAAGTAAAAACTCAAGATAACGTGGTTAGCTGTCAATTATGATCTGCTCCAGTTCATATCTATAGTTACACAATATCTGAATTACACTCAGTTTGTTTGAGGCTTGACAATTTATATCCTGTTAAGATTAGGATCCTGATGTCTCACATGATTGAGCTTAGCATCTATTTGTTTATATTGTTATTTCTTGTTGTTTGATGAAATTAATATTTTTGATACAAGGATCTAAATATGAGATGATGTCCTGAATATATTCTCCTTTTCTTACAATAATCTTTTGCTTTCAGGATAGGATACAGTATGATAGCTGATGCTGAGGAAAGAGGAGTTATAACTCCTGGGAAGGTAAGACGTGTGTCAAAGTACATTCCTAATTCCATAAATGTTTGATTTCTTTACCCTTAGTCCCCTTCCCCTGAACCACCAAAAAAAAGGCGAAGAGGATAAGAAGGAAAGTGTAGTAATGTATACAATAATGGAGCAGTTGACTTTACCTTTATTAGATTTTCTGTTCACTCTGTAATGACCTATCATTTTTATTTTAATAATGTCAGGGAGATCAATTACTGCCATTGACCTTCCTATAAAACTTGAGCCAGATTTTTTTTTTCTTTTCCATATCATTTGCAATGTAGATAAATAGAATCCATTTCCGATATGATTGTTACATACATGCCCATATAGCACTGCTGTTCTGGTGGATCTTAGTTTTTGTGCACATTGTATTTTCAGTTGTTCTGCCCTCTTATTATTTCATAGTCCAGCCCATTCTGACGATTTCAGTGTTACATTGGCATGCCGGCCTTGAAATTATTAGTTCAAATGAGTAAAGAGATTGTACAATTTTCATCAGCTTGAATTTCACATTCAGTAGTTTGATGAAAATGGTATATTGCCTAAAACATTGGAAAGGTTGTATTTATAGTTCACCTCCAACTTATTCACATAGGTGAGTTTTTGCACTAGTTTGTTGGCTTCTAGTTATATTGTTTTGATCAGTTTGCTTATGATTCTTGCTTTTTACTGCTGAAAGGTCAATTGAATACCCCTTTACTTGTTGAGGTGAAATGGATGTGCAAACAAATTACTGTTAGCTCTGTAGTGTTGTATGATTATCGGATATGGTCTGGTTTTTATCTTATTATCACCACATAGATGGCAATGTCACCTTACTTGCATCTGGTACATGGTACTTTGTAATGGAAATCTGTTTTTATGCTAGAGTGTTTTGGTTGAACCTACAAGTGGAAACACTGGTATTGGGCTCGCATTTATTGCTGCTTCGAAAGCATACAAACTCATCTTGACAATGCCTGCTTCAATGAGTCTCGAGAGAAGGGTTCTTTTGAAAGCATTCGGAGCTGAACTTGTTTTAACTGATCCAGCCAAAGGTATGAAAGGAGCTGTGCAAAAAGCTGAAGAAATATTGAGTAACACCCCCAATTCCTACATGCTTCAACAGTTTGACAACCCGGCAAATCCCAAGGTTCTTTTGCCTTCTTCCTCATAACTTATGCTCTGATAGAATCAATTTTCTTTTCTCTGCCTTTTGTCCCCTCTCTCGGGTGGGTTAATCAAAGGATTGTGTTGTCAGTTGTGACCTTTTGGACTTGAAGTTAGTTTTTTTTTTGTTTTTTTTAGCACCTCTGAAATGAGCTCAAGTGTCTGTGGCAATTAAACTCGTGTCTTTTACCTTTTCTGGCAGTGATGTTCTTAATGTAAATTTGGTTGGAACTTGGAAGTTTATCTAATGGGATATCATCTGGATTTCAATTTTTTTGTGCTCTATATTTATATCTCATCTCAGAACAAGTAATTTGATTTTTTGAAGGAAAAGGGATGACATTGAAATTGTAGATGATAGTACATATTCGTGTATCTTTTGCAGATACACTATGAAACAACAGGTCCAGAGATCTGGGAAGACACAAGTGGCAAGGTGGATATTCTTGTTGCTGGGATAGGGACTGGTGGAACCATTTCAGGGGTTGGTCAATACCTCAAAAAGCACAATCCTAATATTAAGGTACAGAAATTTGCTCAGAGAAACTCATAGATGCCTGCACAGTGACATGTGAGCTTAATACCGATGAACTCATTTCCATATTGCCTAAGAAATCAAAGTTTTTCAAAAACTCAGGTTTTTTATTTTTTATTTTTTATTGTAACACCATTCTTTGCTTCTGTTGCATCAGATTGTTGGTGTGGAACCGACAGAAAGTAACATACTATCTGGTGGAAAGCCTGGTAAGATGACAAGCCAAATATAATATGCTTATTTTTCTGGGTTAAACTGTGTATTGTTCTGGCATCTGCAATTTGAAACTGCAGGCCCTCACAAAATTCAAGGGATTGGAGCAGGTTTTATACCAAAAAATTTAGACCAAGAT